TTGCCCAGGGAGAGATGTATTGGCAAAGTGGCTAGGGTAGCTGGCACCCCCCCTGCTATGGATCCATCTAGTTGGCCAAATGAGATTGGTTGTTCCAGTCTCCTGGATGGGATGCCCAGATTCCCCACTAGTGTTGGGCTAATGAGGCAGCGGGTGCAGCCAGAGTCTATTAAGGCTTTCACCTTCACAGCTTCGGGCATGGGGGGGATTAATATAGTCACTGTTTTGAAGATGGGTGGGATGCGTCCACTTACCAGGGGTTCGCCTTCCGAGCTGTCATCTGAGGCATCCACCGTCCCTGTGGTGTAGGCTGGAGTTCTTTCCCCTTGGTGAGCAGAGGTGGGGTTTTCTGCAATTTCCATCATTTTCATGGCTGTTTCTTTTGGCTTAGCTGAATACCCTCTGGGTTTGTTGATTGGGGAGCTGTCTGGGTTGTGCTGGGGGGCCTTTGAGCGGCATTCTACAGCTCGATGCCCTTCTCTTCCGCACTTGAAACACCCCATCTGCTTCTTGGCTGTATCCGATGATGTCACCGGTTGGTGTGTCAGCTCAGGCGGGGGGCGGCTCCATTGTTTTCCTCGGCGATGCCTCTTCAATATGTCGATCTCTGCTTCCTCTGCCAAGACGTACCATTCCTCAAGTCGAAGTGGGTCTCCTCGGGGCAGGCAAGCATCATATAGATCATAGTTTAGTCCGTCTTTGAAACGGCCAAGGAGGATGTCTTCTGGCCAATTCAGTTTGCTGGCAATGGCTCGGAATTCTTGTGTATACTCAGCCACTGGGCGTTTGCCCTGCCTCATCGTTGTTATTCTTTCACGGGATTTGCGATCAGCCAGGGGGTCTTCAAACCGTCTTCTCAACGAGGACATGAAACGGTTGAAGTTACTGAGTTCTGGGGCATTGGAGTCATGCAGGTTCACCACCCAATCTGCAGCTGGTCCATCCAGGGCAGATTGCACGATCCGGATGCGGGCTTTGTCGCTGGGGATGTCCTGCCCATATTCATCCATGTAGCTGAGGACTTGGGTTAGGAAAAACCCCAAGCGTGTTGGCTCCCCTTTGAATTTCACCTCCAACGGTGGACGTCTTGGAATGGATCGGTGCCTCCATTGTGGGTGGTAGTGTCTTCCGTCCAGATTTCCATCTGTGGTCCGGTAGGGGGTGGGAGCTCCTGGATCAGTAAATGTCCCTGGGGTTGCAGGTTCCACGTCCCCCTCGGTGTCTCTCCCTTTGTGGCTCCAGGAACTGGGGCGGGCGTAGGGCTCAGGAATCTCCTCTCCTAGGGAGCTGAGAGTTCTCTTCATCAGGTCAATAGCTCTCTCTAGGATCCAGTCTGAGTACGGCATACAGCTTCCTCCCTCTTCACTTGCGTGCAGGGATTTCTCCATCTCCTGCTTCCATTCTGGTTGCTTGGTTCCCCGTCTCAGGGTCACTTTTCTTGATTCCTTTCCCCACTCGCTTTTCTTTCCAACGCCCATCGACCAGCGAGGCTTGTGGTCCTGTGTCTCCACCACTTCTTCTTCTGAGAAATCTGGCCTCTCGGATCCCAACATCTGGCAAGGTTCCAACTGGGTCAGCGGCTCTCTTTCCAGGGAGTTTTCTCCCTCTCTTGCTTCGTTGTCTGACATGGTAAATTTTTGCAAAATCCCCCGGCAAGGGTCTACCTTCCAGGTGGATTAATTTTGCAAGTCCTGTCTAATGTAAGGACCCACCCCACTTTGCATCTTAAGAAGACAGAACTCTTGGAATAGCTCTTCCAACAGGAATCCTTTATTAAGAGAAAATGGTTGCAGGCATGCTAGACAGGACTTGGGGTTCAAGCTCTCCCATTCAAGGTTTTAAGGGGTTCCCCAGTAGTCCCACCCAATCAACCCCCCTTCCAGTGATAGTTTCAAGTATCACAATTCCATCCCCTTTCTTCTTCCGTCTGGATGGAGACTTCAGATAACTACATGAAAGGCAATTACTCTTCTTTGATATGTTAAAGCTTAGAGGCCACAATAAACACACATTCAGTCCTTTGAAGTGTGCTGAAGGAAGTGAGGGCCATAAAGCCCCTTTGCTCTCCCCCTTTTCTCCCTCTTATGGCAGAATCCAGAGAAGGCAGAATTGGGAGTTTCTATGTTTGATAATTAAAGATGAAATATAATTGGATTCTGACATTGACATTAGTCTCTACCGATCTACAGTCTCTACCGATTTACATGAAGTGAGCCCCAGTGAACACAGTGGCATTTTTTTTCCTGAAAATCTTTACCAACTAAAATGTCATCCTTTAAAAAAAATGGGGGGATGTATTGCTTTCTTCTTTGTTGTTAAGGTTTTTTTTTTTCTTTTTACTTTGGCATAGTTATGTATTCTACTGCTAGTGTTGTCTTTATCTACTGCAAACCACTCTGATCTTTTGAAGCTGGGTGGTGTGGAAATGTGATGAAAAATAAATATCTACAGATGTGTTCAGATAATTCTTCCAGAGATAGGTTGCCAATATTCATATATGTAATTTGCTAGGAATCCCTTTTGCATTCCTCTGAGAAACCAAATTGACAAGGATTGATCTGAATCATTATGTCTGTTGAGAAGGACCAAATCATGCAAATGCTTAGGCACCCAAGTGTTTTTGTGTGTGCAAAAAGCTTTCAAATTAGCAGATGAAAACCATTGGTTTGTTTAAGAGCATTCAATCATGGGGATTAGGAACAGAAAGACACAAAGCAAATTATTCTGTCATTTATTTATGTAGAGTAGTGTTTATGCAACGTGCTAGAGGTCCTTTAACTAATTTCCAGGAAGTTAACATTTTCAATTTCTTTTTCTTCTGGCTGGATCATGACAAGCAGAAAATCAATGGCAGACATTTTCACAGCAAACAAAAAGCTGCTATTCTGTATTGCTTATATCGGTTGATTAGAAACTCGCTGGTTACTTTGAGTTAGTTAGTCATTCTTATAGTTCAAACTTCCTCACGGACAGAGGTGTCCACAAGAGTGTCAAAAGTCAACATGGTTGCTATTGCACATTCAATACAAGTAACAAAAGATAAAGGTCTTTGATTGTGTGTTTCTCGATGACATGTTGACTTTCTTGATTCTTCCTACAGATACCTCTTTTATAATCAAAGTCCCATGCAATCAAAATGTACAGCTCAAATTTAAAACTGGCAGGACCACCAACTTTCTTTTTTGTAGCCCCTTACATGAATGCTCCTCAAATCTCTATAGAGATGCATATACGATAAAAGACATGTTGTTGTTGTTGTTAATTGCAAAGCCGTGTCCGATCCATCGCAACCCCATGGACAACGTTCCTCCAGGTCTTCCTGTCCTCTACCATTTTCTGGAGTCCATTTAAGTTCACACCTACTGCTTCAGTGACTCCATCCAGCCATCTCATTCTCTGTCATCCCATTCTTCTATTGCCCTCAATCTTTCCCAGCATTAGGCCCTTCTCCAGTGAGTCCTTCCTTCTCATTAGGTGGCCAAAGTATTTGAGTTTCAACTTCAGGATCTGGCCTTCTAAAGAGCAGTCGGGGTTGATCTCTTCTAGGACTGACCGGTTTCAACACCTTGCAGTCCAAGGGACTCGCAGGAGTCTTCTCCAGCACCATAGTTCAAAGGCCTCAATTCTTTGGCGCTCAGCCTTTCTTAGGTAAATAAGCAGAAGATATTCACTAATCATGTTTTCTTTGAAATATATTTGAATGCATATTCTCTTTCAAACCAAAGGGGGGGGGGGAATAGAAGACATTCCTTTTTTTCTGCAAAGTGCTAATTTAAACTACATAGTACTTTTATATGTATGATAGACCCCCACCCAGTGGTGGGATTCAGCCGGTTCGCACTACTTTGGCAGAACCGGTAGCTAATTTTTTGTTGCTCAGGCCCAGAATGGACTTCCAGAAGCAGCATCCACACAGAGAACCGTTTGTTCACATATTTGAATCCCACCACTGCCCCCACCCATTTATACATATAAATTCTATCTTTTTAAGTAATTTAAGCAATTTCTTGGCACTTCAGCATCCTCAGTCCTGTATTTTATACAGTGTATCTTTCCTTGGTTTGTGGGAAAGCCAAATTTCACTTAGAATGGACGGTAGATTTAGTTAAAGAGTTAAATGATGAATAACATGACCAGGCACACATTTGGATTAAGCAGGCAGTTTAGCTTAATAAGTAATTCAACTACTTATTTTGTCTTTGAATATTGGCTGTGATTGATTTTGAAAACCCTGAGTAAATGGCTGATCCAGAAGAGGACGACGTCTCCTTAATGATTGGCCTTGCAAACAGAACATTGGTAGAACATTAAATCTGAAGTCCAGGGGGGCTGGATTGATAACCTCTGAAATGGATCCTGTAAATTTTCCCACACTGACCTTTGAAATTAATAAAATCAGTTCCGTGATGTTTTGTTGGAAGTAGCTTTTTGAAGACTGTCAAAGAGATACTTTTGTTTCAAATTTTGGATAGGATTGGCTACTCAGGATCAGTTTGGATGGTAAAAATAACTTCAGTCCATGTGCCTTTCAATCATGTTGAAGTGCCTGTTGTTCCACTTCAGTTTGAGAGATCAAGATTGAATGACTCAGTGTTCTGACTTGAGGCACCATCTTGAATTTAGATTGCCAGAAGCTTCCATTTATTTATTTTATTTATTGAACAAATTTATATAAGCTACCCAACTCATGCATAGATTACTCTGGGTAGCATATTACAGCAAAGGATGAGGCTACAAAATGTATGTGTGGGTATATGTGTGGTTCTACTAGAGCCATACTACATCTTGGCATATATGGTTAGCGTACTGATAAAACCTCATCTAAAGGACCTTCTGAGTACTTGGCAATTCTAGATATATGTTTTCTAGTTATAATGCTTTGTATCATTTGATGATTGGGGAAGTGAATAATAATAATTCTGAAGTAGATCACAAAAATGTCAAAAATTCATACTGAACAAGACTTGTAACTCATAGCTCTGAGCAAGAGCTTTTACTTGTAACCTCTGAAGGAAATGTTCCTTTTTGTCTTCATAGAAGGTGTTGATTATGGGCCAACGTTTATGCAAGAACCTGATCATGTGATCTTCCCCATGGATTCAGAGGAGAAGAAAGTGTCCCTCAGCTGTCAAGCCAGAGGAAATCCTGCCCCAGCCTACAGGTAGCTAATATGTTTTAGCAATGGAGTTGAGCTGTCTATTTTCATTCCAAGTCAGTGTAAAGTAGTTTTTTACTTACAACCTTTCATTTAGTGACCGTTCAAAGTTATGGCACTGAAAAAAAATAACTTACAACCATTTTTCACACGTCCATTGAATCCCCATTGGCCATGTGATCAAAATTCAGACGTATGGCAACTGTCTTGTATTTATGATGTTGCAGTGTCCCAGAGTCATGTGATCCCCTTTTATGACTTTCTGACAAGAAAAGTTCATGGGGAAGCCAAATTCACTTTACAACCATGTTACTAACTTAACAACTGCCGTGATTCACTCAACAGCTGTGGCAAGAAGAAAGGTCATAAAATGGGGCAAAACTCAACTGCCTGGCTTAGCAATGGAAATTTTGGGCTCAGATGTGGTCATAAGACGAGAATTACCTGTATTCTGTTTGTTTTATCTAAAATCCATTCCAGGTGTTATTTTAAAAGATTCAATTATAAAATTATCTCAATCTATTCATTGACGTACCTGTTTTTTTCTAAAAATATACATTTGGCAAACTGAAGCAATTGCCAATATATGCATGCTTACACAAAGCACTGCTTTCCTTAATGTACACTTTTGAGCCAATTTTTACCAACGGTGTTCATTCTTGTCTGCATTTTTACTTCAGTTTGAATATTGGTTCAGACTATGAGAATTGGATCAGTTCTTATTCAAAATCAACTATTTTTTTCTCGCCAAATCTAAACATGCTTAATGGGTCCATTCATCCTGCTTCCACTATTTATTATGTCCAGTTTGATTATGACGATTCCAAGTCTTCTATAGAATTTTTTTTTATTTCATTTATTTGTCTGATAGAAAGACTTGAATTATGAATCATCTATGTAAAATAAAGTACATTTTATATTTTCTTAACTGCAGGTTAATAATATGAAATTTACCATCATTATTTGTTGTGGGAAAAAAAATTTCCCCTGATCTGGAGCATTATATCTCAGAGAAATATTTTGAAGGGCAATCAATTCATAGATTTGCTGTTCAAGTTTTGGCCTTTATTTGTTAGTTTGTTTTGTTTCTATATTGCCTTACTCCTTTAGGACTCCTGGCAATTTACAAGAGACAGTAATGCAATAAAAGCATTCAATAAAACAATATAGCAAATTTAAATTATATTATTAAAAAATCCTGAATTATTATTTTAACCTTTAAAAATTCTTCCACACAAGTCCATGTTCAAAACTTCTTAAATCTCATGAAGAGAGAAGAAGTGATACAAATCTCTTACATAAAATTATTGCAGAGGCTAGTCCTGTAACTAAAAAGGAACTTATTTCTAATTTTTCCCTCAAGCTAACATAGCAGAGGAACTGTCAGTACATGTGATTTATTTTCATTTATTTATGTAAACATTTATGTTGCCACCCATCTTTCAGCCAACTCTGTAGAGCAGAGGTCCCCAATCTTTTGGGCACCAGGGACGGTTACGTGGAGAGAGGTTTTTCCGCAGACCGGAGGGGGTGTGGTTTTGTGTACTGCCTGTATCCCATAGATGGGACTTTGCTGGTTTGTGTGGATCGGTTGCTGGCATGCTGCAGCCCAGTACTAGCCCATGAACCGGGGATTGGGAACCCCTGCTGTATAGTATCCAATCAAATAATGTACATACTGGACTGGCAGTTCTCCCTAACATAGATGGAACTCTAGCCACATAGAGATTTCTAATAAAATAAATCACATTTTCCATTTTCAAGCATATAGTTAGAAGCTACAACATTGGTTTTATGTGCAAGAAGCAGTTCTCACGCACCAGTAAGTGGGCTGTTGTATTTTTTGCTAACTGTATCTTCAACAGCAGTTCTGTATAAAGAACATTGCAACCATTTGTACAAGAGTTGATAGGGTTGCAGGTTATGGATGCCAGGACCTCTTTCTCTGAGTAAGGCTGTGACTCGTGTACTAGCTAGAGATGAGCAAAACCTCCATTACCCATAGATTCAAAGTAGACAAGGGGCTAATAGACATTACCCATAGACTCATTATACTTTACTCAAAGACATTACCCATAGACTCAAAGTAGGCATCAGACAAAGTGCATCACTAGGTTGCAAGACCTGATCCTTTAAGGAGATTACTATCCCATCCAGAATCACCACTGGAGCAGAAAAATCAAGTCATTTCTGGACTTTCCAACAATGCAGGCTTGCTAGGATTCAATTTCAGCTTGTTTTCTTTTCTATCAATTCCTGCAGCTTTCAGATATCTGGTCAAGATTTCCACTGGGTCACTGGCTTGGCTTATGTTGAGTTGGTCTTCTGTGTAGACCTTTATGAATATTACTTTTCAGTATATAATTTACATTATAGATGACTGAACATCTACCTTATGCTAGAAGCATTGTATGCAAAGTGTGATCAATATGTGGATGTTTTAAAAAGATCCAGCATATGTCATTTACCTTCCAGTTTATTCCTATATTAACCCTTGATCATCCCTTGAGCATTCTCAATAATTTTACCAATTAACATTCTGCATTTGGCACAATTTCTGTAATTGCAAGAGCCATACCAAGCTTGGCATGATATAGTGAGAGCTGACCTCCAAAAACAGGCAATGCCAGGATCCAAGGTATAAAATTAGTGCTATAAACTTATAGAAGACTTAAGAAGTCAAATTCTGGAAATTTGCACATGTAGAAGAAAGAACCTGGGGATGGTGTGAAAAGGGGGATCAGCTTAGAATCCCTATGTAACCACAAGAGAAGTAAGTCCAACTCCCCCCCTTGAACCTCATTTAACTCCAAGCATGTGCCAACCATTAGTTGAGAAGATTCCTGGGCCTAGACTGAATAGCAATATTTATTAGCAAAAAATCAGCATTTTTAATAAACCACCTGTAAACCTGGTCTTTCACACCTGACAGTACATTTCAGAAATGATTTGGAAGATGTCCTTCAGACCTTACATAACTGCAACCATAGCACCTTCCTATTATTCACTTAAGTAGCCTGACACCTTTTGGGAATTGTACACAAAAAGTACAAGTGGGCCTATAAATGTAATAAATAAATAGAAAAACAGATACCACTGCTTCAAGATCTGCATTAACAGTCATGAGCGATAATCCTTGACTTACAACAATTCATTTAGTGATCATTCAACAGCACTGAAAAAAGTGACATGACCATTTTTTACACTTATAATCATAGCAGCACCCCCATGGTTACATAATCAAAGTTCAGATGCTTGTCAATTGACTCATATTTATGATGGTTGTAGTGTCCCAGTGTCATGTGATCCCCTTTTGTAATCTTCTGATAAGCAAAGTCACTGGGGAAGCCAGATTCGCTTAACAACTGTGTTACTAACTCAACAACTGCAGTGGTTTACTTAACAACTATGGTGAAAAAGGTCATAAAATGGGGCAAAATTAAGAAATGTCTCACTTAGTAACATAAATCTGGGGCTCAACTGTGGTCATAAGTCAAGGACTACCTGCCCAACTACTTAGGCTGACCAAACATACAAGAGAATGGCTGAATGCATAATCATGCTAAAGTTTCATTCTTTTCACAATGTTACATACAGTTTGCATCTCAGAAATATAGGAGACAGTTGGGTACACTGGTAGAAAATGTGCTGGAAATCGTGTATTAGAAGTAAAGCTACAAAACATTTTCTTTTAAAAAAAATACATTCTAGAAAATACCTAGGCATCTCAATATTTTGCATATGAATGTTATGAAAATTTCTAAGCTAAAGGCCAGAAAAACGTGATCTCATCAATGGCACCAAAATTTCTTTTCCACTGTCTATGTCTTCTTGAAGCTTATTAAACTATTTGTTTTTTCTTCCAAGGTGGCTCCGGAATGGAACCGAGTTAGACATAGAAAGTGATTACCGTTACAGTATGATAGAAGGAAGCCTTATTATCAACAATCCCAGTGAAATAAAAGATGCTGGGCAATATCAGTGTTTTACCACCAATGTCTATGGTAGCATTTTGAGCAGGGAAGCCACACTTCAATTTGCATGTAAGTAACAATTTTGTTATCCCACTTTATTACCACTTGGGTAGAGTTAATGAAGTCATATTGAAACAATGCGAAAAAGTCTAATTGCATCATGAAGAACCAGACAATTATATTCATATCTATAAATATAGGAATTTGCTATATACAGGTGGTCCTTGACTTACAACCATTCCTTTAGCAACCTTGCAACACTGAAAAAAGTGACTTATGACCATTTTTCATACTTACGACTGTTGCAGCATCCCTGTAATCACATGATCAAAATTTAGATGCTTGGCAACTGGCTCATATTTATGACGGTTGCAGTGTCCTGGGATCACGTGATCAGCTTTTGTGATCTTCTGACAAGCAAAGTCAATGGGACTTAATCATGTTTCTAACTTAACTACTGCAGTGATTCACTTAACAGCTGTGACAAGAAAGGTCACTTAACAATGGAAAATTTAGGCTCAATTGTGGTTGTATATCAAGGACTATCTTGTATTTCACTATTTCAATGCAGAATACTTTTGTCTGTTTATTTTTTGTATTAAGCATCTCTCCATTGGTCTGCCCAAATGTCTGGATCTGAAAAAGCCCCAAGAAGTATATGATGTTTTCCTAGGATTTAAATAACCTCCTGATGTTTTCCCCTGAACTCAGTTAAATTGTGAAAAGTGTGAAAAGCTAGAGAGGCAATAAACAGATTGTAAATGAAGAAAGACAAACATAAACATCCCTCAGCTTCCCCCCTAATTAATGAAATTCAAAACTCATTGATCAAGAATTTAATGCCCTTTTGGGCGAAAAATAAAAACAAATTATGTTCCATCAAGGCAGTGGTTCTCAATTATTTTCTGTCATGCCCCCCTAGGAAGAAGAAAACATTTCTCGCGCCCCCGCGTGACTGTCTATCCAATCGGGTCCTTTGCGTGTGTCACGTGGTCCAATATGACAGTATTTGCCGAGGTCAAACGAGCCCCCCTTTACAGAGCCTCGCGCCCCCCCTGGGGGGCCCGCCCCACTATTTGAGAACCACTGCATCAAGGGAATGCAAACCAGAAATACAGAATACTTTTTGAGCTGTTCATCAGATCTGCTGAAGTGAGGAGTTCAAGCAATAGTGGGGAACCAAACCAGACTTTGCACAAAAGAGTTAATGACACAAAGTTGACATTAAGACTGAAAACAAGGACAAAGAAATTGTTCCCCAAGTTATTTTTACTTTCCTTGATTACAAATCCCAAAGTTGACAATTTTGAAGAAAGAAATTACTGTACACCAGCATTATAGAGCAAGAGACTATTACCAAGCTGACAAAAATCAAAAGGTTTTAGGCTACCTCAACAGGTCTTATCTAACACAATGGGTTTTTAACACAACTGGAATTGTTAATTGATGAGATATCTCCTCAGTCCATCTGCCTAACTTGTGATCTGCATTTGCATAATAATATTTTCTCCCTACCAAACCCATCTCATCCCAGTTTAAATCTTACATCAGTTCAGGCACTGCATGAAGCTGACAAAGTGAGCTTATGCCTTTTAATAAAATTTGTTAGTGGCTTTAAATAAAACTTAAACAAAAAGATGAAGCCAGATTCCTTTTGATCCTACCTGTCCTTATGAGGAACATTTTTTTTTTATAACCCAGTCTGAGAAAATAGATTTTTGCATCAAGACCTTGGCACTAGGATGCAGACAATGAACTTTCTTGCTAACAATTGAATAAGCACGTTCAATTATAACTGATCCCTTTTTAATTTGGATAAATCAACAATCCTAGTGGAATATTGTGTGTATCATAATAAATCAACGAATGAATCAACATAATAACATATTAACTAAGACAGAAAAGTACAACAAACCCATTGTTTTATAATAATACATATATAAAACAATGGGCTTCATTGTATTTTTCTGTCTTAGTTAATATGTTGATTCATTCATTGATTCATTATACATCATAATGGCATTGTTGATTCTTAGTAACAGATAAGTAGATTTTCTCCACGATGGTCTTTCCCTAACCCAGTCTTTCAATGTTGCATTCAATACCACCCAGAGTTGGCTATAATAAAAAATAAACCGAATCAATCCACTTTGCTGTTAGTTGTCCCTTTCTCTTTCCTTCCACCTTTCCCAGAATTGAAGCCTTCTCTAGAGCAGCAAATATACATTTTATTTATTTGCCTTTCTTCTCTTGAACCAGAAGACATGTAGAACAACTTCATCACATCTCTAAAGTTCCCCCAAATAAGAAATACCCTCTCAAGATTTGAGTTTATTGCCTTGCTGACAAGGCATTTAAATTGATAATGTGACATCTCTGATTTCCCTCACAGCCCGCTGAGTGTAGAACCTGGAAACTGCAAGCCATTGATCAAAAGTTTAATTCTTGCAAATTTGTGTCAGACACAAAATGAATTTAGAGCAAGAATCCCATGCTGTTCTCAGCTTTATCTCAATATTGCCACACAATGAAATTGATAGGGTACATTTAAATACACAGTGTGATGCTTTCTAGTGGATTTGGATGATTCGGATAGTAATCTAAAATACATATTTTTTCTGAGATGGAGGAATCCATAGGACCCAGGATGTCAGCAGCAAGAATTCATATTAGATATTAGAAAAGCCTTCCTCCTCATCAACAAAGGCTAGTTTTCAAAAGTGGAAAATGCATGGAGGAATTGGGCAACAACTCTGCTGGAAGGATAGAGGCTTTGAATGGTTCTACATCCTCATCCCAATCCCTTCAAATGGGAGGGAGGGAATAGGCCAAGTATTTGCCTTACTACTTTTTTATAAGGTCCTCTTTTTAAAAATCAATCAATCAGAATAGAACTGGAAGGGACCTTTGAGGTCTTCTAGTCCAACCCCCTGCTTAAGCAGGGGACCTTATACCTGTCTGTGGAGATTCTCAGTCATCCAGGCCAGGGTTGTCCCAAATGTGCTTTTTCACAAGATAACTGGACTTTCTTTTTTCTCTTTGAAAACATTTTGCTTCTCATCCAAGAAGTTTCTTCAGCTCTGACTGTCAGAGCTGAAGAAGCTTCTTGGATAAGAAGCGATACATCTTCAAAGAGAATAAAGAAAGTCCAGTTGCCTTGTGAAAAAGCACATTTGGGAGACCCTATACCATTTCAGACAAGTGATTGTCCAGTCTTTTCTTAAAAACCTCCAGTGATGAAGCACCCAGAACCTTTGATGGCAAGCTGTTCCACTGGTTAATTGTCCTCACTGTTAGGAAGTTTCATTTAATTCCAGGTTGCTTCTCTCCTTGATTAGTTTCCATCCATTTTTCTTCTCCTGTCCTCTGGTGCTTTGGAGAATAAGTTGACTCCCTCCTCTTTGTGGCAACTTCTCAAATACTGGAATACAATGATGATGATGTTATCTATTCAGTATTGTCCAATTCTTGATGATTCTATGGGCTAGGTTTCTCCACATCTTCTGCATCTTCTGATCTTGTACTACTTCTCTTAGTGTTCTATGCACAGGATGGTGTCAGCTTTGATGGTATCCGGCCACTGTGTTGTTTGGTAGCCTAGTTTCCTTTTACCACTAATCTTTTCCAAGCACAATTGCTTTCTTCAGGGAATGAATGACATGACCAAAATAAGTGAGATGCAGCTTTGTGATTTAGTCTTCCATTGACACGTCTGGTATTAAAAAACAGTAACAAATAGGAAACTAGAAAGCTGCAAATCACCCATCTGTAGCATTGTTTCTCCAGTTTAGATATGTCTGTTAACCTCAATGCACATGAACAATGCAGATGATTCCAGCTTAGTGTTTTTTTGGAAGGATGCCCAGTTGTCAAAAAGACAAACATACCTGAAAGGATTAGAGGGTAACTTGAAATGACTATTCATTTGAATGTAACCTTCCTTAAACATTTTGAATTTGACCATTAACTCCCCAAGTTTCTGGAACTATGAGATCCATGTGAATAAAGATATCCTCCCCAGTTTTATTGTAAATACCCAGCAAACCTAGATTTCATCAAAATGACACAGGCAGTGACATGTTGACAGATTCTAGCATTATCTACTAGTATTCCAATTCCTGACACCAATGCATACCCTGAATCAGCTTTTTCATCCCTGCAGACATTTATGCCTACACCTAATATACAGAGTTTCCATAGCTAGAGTTGATTGATTGATTATGTGCCATCAGGTCAGTATAAACCCTTAGTGAGCATATAGATAGTTTTTCTCTAAGAAAAGCTTTCTGCTAACTTTCTGTATTTATTATTGTTTGTTATTATCTGGTGGACATCCAGAGTTTTGAAAAACCAGCTTTGGTCCCACAAAGAATTAATTTCTCCTCCTCCTCCTCCTCCTCTTCCATCCTCCAAATGATATCTTTTTTAATTGCACTATATCATTGCAAGCAAGACTATAGTGAACTGAGAGCTAAGAATAAGTTTCCCCTTTCTTCATATTCTCTCCTTTGGAACATCCTAAAAACTAGTCCTTACTACATTATTAAAAAGTCATATTCTTCTGAAAAGCATTTTGGAATAAGTAAGATCAGGCTATGACAGCCAGTTTGTTGTGGTGGTTAAGGCATCAGACTGTGAGTTCCAGTCCAGCCTCAGGCATGAAGCCAACTGGAGGAACTTGGGCTTGTCCCTTTCTCTCAGCCCTCAGAAGAAGGCTATGGCAAACCAGTTCCAAAAATATTGCCAGGAAAACTTCAAAAACTTGCCTTTGTTATTGCAGGGATTTGTCCAGGCAGCCATCAGAGTCAACACTTTAAACATCAAAAATAATGTTTAAAGAAATGACAGTGTCCTGAATAGTGACACGGCAAATAATTGGTTATAACTGTATTCTCTGACTTCAGTTTTTGATATTTTACCTTGTTTCTGAAATGCTGCAATATGGTACAATGAGTAGAAATTGAGCAGAACATTAACAGTAGAAATAAACAAATTTGACTTCTATTCCTAAATAATAATCCAGTAAGTTTAAGAAATAAGGAGTAGAGTAGGATACATAGATAAGTTCT